ACTTGCCGAAAAAGAGTGCCGTATTGAAAGTATTGAAATTTATACACCCGACCAATAATCAAAGAGATTATAACTAGTGACTCCAAGAAAAGACATGAAATTATCAGGTCAAAGATCAAAAATCCGATTTTCTAATATTTCACTATCCTATAGTCTGTGCCCGAGAGTTTGTATTGAACCTTCAAAAAATATTATTATTGTCCCTTCACTTGTTAAATTTGTCCTTATTTGGTTTATTGTAAAATACAATAAGTGACGGAATATCCACGAAATATAAAATATTATTTATGAGTAAGTTTTATTAAACTTTAGAAGGGGATTAATAAAGTTCTGTTGCAAAGCAACATTATATAAACTTTTTAAAATTTTTAATTTAATATATTTGTAATAAAACTTCTTGGATACATTCAGTGTTTTAATGAATCAATTATAACAGCAAAGAATACAGTAAGTAACCTTCATTTTTACAACTAGAAAACAGCTAACGATAATTTGTTGAAGAAACATTATGTCAACTTCACTTTATTTTAATACAAATAACTATTAAAAATTGGAAAATAACTATAAAATGAGCCGTATGAGTTATTCCATTCCTTATGAACAAATGTTTACAGAAATTAGCTGATCTTTAATCTCAACAGAGTAAAATTACAAACAAATTCTTTACAAATTGTCATTAACTTCTTTCACATCTCATTGCTTCCTGAACGTCTTGAAATAGTTTTGTATGGTTCAAATAAGTTGAAAAATAATCTTTTTTCATTGGAACGTTTCACAGAAAAGTTAGTTTTACATAAAAAGTGTAATTTTCAAGACATATGTTTTCCCAGAAATTATCCAAAAATGAAAATATTTCAAAAGAAATTAATAAGCTAAAATGAATTACTTAATAATCCACAAAATGGTCAGCCAGGATAACTTAAAAACGAAAAACAAACGAACCTTGAAATTGAACTCCAAAAGGGAAACATAATGACAAATTTACGAGTAAACCAGCTTTGTCCACTTATTGCAGGAAATTATACAAAAAATCAACGGAAAATAATGTCGCACACACTGTACCCAAGTAAAAAGGAGCACAAAAAAGCCTAAAGACATATTTCGATGAATATCACTTCAAATTATTAAAACTGCCATTGATCCTTTATAGATTTCATCCAAGAAGTTTACTGGTTACATTGTATAAACGAATTGACTCGAGAGTGACTCAATAGGCCTAATTTTTGCTCGTGTATCAGGGTGCTTCACAGAGCTGAAGACCGTACGTGAAAATTAATTTCCACAGATAAGAAGAAGAGATTGCTAGAACATTCAACAGTCCTAAACGACTCACCGCATAAAATCTGACCTCTTTTACGAGCAAAAGCACGAAACTACGCGGAAAATAAAAAAACTAATACGATTAATTACTTCCATTTGTATCTAATATATTTTACAACCGAAACAGCCACACAAAATCACGCAACAGGTCACTCACACAAAAATGGAATTCAAGCAGGAAAAATAAAAAGACCTCGTGACTCGCAAATCAAAGTGCATCGAGCAACGTGGAACAAATAAATCACAGTCATTTGGCTGCAGATAGAAGCGATATATAATCAGCAGCTTGCAAGAAGCATCAGCAGATAGAAACGAAATTAAATTCCGTTGCAAACGCACAAAGAAACTGACACTGGGCGCAAGCGCTGACCCTACCTGGTCGAGGGCTCGGGCGGCGGTGGTGGATCGGCTATCAGGGCGCGAGGTCACAGGATACGCTGCCGAAGGTCGCCGGCCCGCGGCGGGACGGGAGACGCGAAATGAAACGCTCGAGGCGCAAGATGCATTCGCGACCGCACCGACTAGTGTAATGGCCAAGCGACGATCGAGGCGGCTGAGAATGGCGCGGCGGCGGAGGCGGAGGCGCAGGCGGCGGCGGCGGCGGCGGAAGCGATGGCGGCGGGGGTGAGGACGGGTGGTGACTGAGACGGCGGCGGTTGCTGAGGCGACGGCAGGGACGCGGAGGCGACAGCGGGGGAGAAGACGAGGGCGTGGGAGGCGGCGGAGGCAGTTGTGAAGCGTGTAAACAGAAGCCAGCGGCAGGGGAGTACGGCGGCCGATGCGACGGCGGAGCGGCGCGCGGCAGCGCGCGGCGGCGACGCGCGGCGGCGGCGGCGGCGCGGCGGCGGCGGTGGCGGCGGAGGCGGCGGAGCGGCGGAGGCGCGGAGGCGGCGAGCGCGGAAGCGGCCAAAGAGATGGTGGAAATGTTGGTGATGGCAACGGAAAGAAAAGCAGGGAAAAGTGTGAAACAAAGTGCGGCGAAGACGGAGGTGGGCGGAGAGAAGGGGGAGGCGGCGAAAGCGATGTTCGCCGTGGATTGGAGGAGGAGAAGAAGTGGAGCAGCGCAGGTGGAGATGTGGCAGTTGTAAGTGGCAGCGGTGGCATGGCGGC